TTCCAGGTCATACACGTACTCCTGGACCCAGGTCTCACTGGGGTCAGCGCAGACTTGCTTCCCTCTTTTGGTTTGGAATCTGTAGAACAAGGAGCAGACAGATGAGAATCCCATGAGACCTTTGAGGTCATCTGGCTTTTTCCCTTGCCTGGGGTCGGCATCTTCCTCTGCCTGACCATGGTCCATGTGGGCAGCTCTGGTGCATGGGATCCTTCCCGGGGCAGCACTGGAACCAGACTCCCTGTAACTTCCACCCACTGGAGTTAGCTGTGGGCCCCAGGGGTTTCCCAGATTAGGAACCGGTGGGCATTACAATCAATATGAATAGATCTCCCCATTCCCTGCCAGCCTGGCAGTGACTTTTCCACATGTCTTTCTAGCACAGTTTGAGAAATCAGTCCCTATCTCATGTGACCTGTCCAACTTCCCCTGCTTTCCTGTCCTCTGGATAACTTCCTCCCCAGAAACCCCTTCTCTCTCGGCTCCTGCTCAGCCGCCTTCAGCACTTGAAAAATGAGTTCATGACCTGTGTCCTTACTGCTCTCAGGGAAGGCTTCAGCCCTGAGAGCTGCCTCCCCACTGCTCAATCACCCCCTCCCCAAAACAGGCCCCCTTTTAAAATCCAGCCCTCCCCCTTGCCTCCCAGAGGAGCCCAGGGATTGATACTCACACCACAGCTGGCTGGGAGCAGAGGCTGCTGGTCTCGTAGTAATCTACCACAAAGTTGCGAGGAAGCTTCCTCACGGTGTAAGAAAAGCAGCAGGCGGTGGGAGGGTCTGAGCCCACTGAAAGGAAAGGCCAGGGTGAGATCAACACTGCACATGGGAGCTGTTTATTTTGGCTTCTAGTTTTGTGTCTTCTTTGAGCATCCCTGTGTAGCTACCGGAACCACAAATATGGTCCCTTGTCTCCATTCCCACCTAACCTGAGCGGGAGTCTTATTCTGAATACTGGATCTTCAGACAAGAACAAGAAAGAAATCTGGAAGACTGGAACTGGATTCAGTCTCAGAACACATCGCATTCCCTTCATGTGACAGATGGGAAAACCAAAGCACAGAGAGGGACAGGGGCTTGCTTGAACAAGTAATTAGAGGCAGAGCCAATTCAACAGTCTGACTTCCAGCCCATCTTTTTCCTCTGCTAGTTGCTAACTCTTGAGAAAATACGAACTTGAATGTTATTGAATACTAGACTCTACATTTAGCGCAGACTTCGTGGCAATCTTCCTAGCTGCCTTTTGTCCCATCCCCAGATCCCACTGTTTGAGCAGCCACGACTAGAATAAAAGACTCTGCCTGCACCTCGGCTCTGGAAACAGCAGCTGCGAAAGTAGACTTACTTGGTGCTGAGAGTGCTGGAGAGCAGAAGGCAGCTGCTAGCACGAGGAGAGACAGGACAGTCACGCACAGCTTCATGGTGTTGGTGGAAGAGAGGTTTTCTCAGAGGTGAGGCTACAGAACTCAGAAGCTTCAGAACCCAGCTGTGTCCTGTGCTGATACTGAGTTGGGAATCTCTCTTTATAGAGACTCTGAGGCCTGGGACAAATGTGGGGGCTCAGCAGAGCGAGTGGAATTTCCATGGTAGAGATGATGTCGTGGCTCCTGAAGCTAGCTGAGTGAGGAATTCCTCTCAGCTTCTCTTCCCCAGGGCGATGTCATCATAGAGGAAAGATGAGGGAACTGCAGGCTAGAAGAAAAGGGAAGTGGTACAACCAAAGGAAGTGACCGAGACCTGGGGGGAGAATTGCAAACCACAGAGGAAAGATGAAACGTTCACACCTGCTATAAGTGACTTGTAGACAAGAACTGTGCTGCTCTTGGTGATTGGCACCCCCAGATGCTGGAGGGTTCATGTCAGCCTTTCCAGGCTGGTCACAAGCCTGGCCCCAAGAACAAAGGGGGAGCCAGGACCCCCCCGATTCCCTTCCTGTGCCTTCTTCTGCTGAGCTGAGTGCCACTGAATTTTGTGTCCTGTATGTTTCCTTGGGCATGAAGAGTCCAGCATTGGATGTGCAGAGGGATCCAGTGGGGTGACTTAGCAACGTTTGTATCTTCTTATTGGACACTTAGCGTGTACCTGGCACTGGGAAAGCTGTCTTACACATATCATCTCTAATCCCTCCATAGCCTTGAGCAGGGGTGTGTCATCTCATTTTACAGATAAGACAATTGAGGATCAGAGAGTGGTCCACTGATGTGCTCAGTGCCACAGAGCTGATGAGTGGCACTGCCAAGATCTGAATCAAGATTCATCTGACTCCAAAGTCCATTTTCTTTCCATGTTGTAGTCTCCAGAATAAACATAGAGTGTGACCACAAACAGAAACCGTTGACTGATAGACTGCTAGGAGCTATTCCACACTCAAAGACCAATTGTACTCAAACTTAATTCAGGAAAGAGATAGGGCTAGTCTGTCCTAGAACAAGGAGGGAACGGTGGAGAAATAAAGATTTCAGGATATTTTCTTGGACCAACAAAAGAACAGGACATATAAACCAGTAAGAATTGAGTTTGGAAGACTCGATCAGAGAATGTTTAGACTCGATTAGAGACTCAGATAGAGAATGTTCTTCTAGTATAAAAACAGGATTGAGCTGGGTGCAGTGGCTCACACCTGTTATCCGGCACTTTGGGAGGCCATGGTAGGTGGATTGCTTGATCCCAGAAGTTTGAGACCAGCCTGGGCAACATGGTAAAACCCTGTCTCTACAAAAAAAAAAATACCAAAAACAATTTGGCTAGGAGTGGTGACGCACACCTGTAGTCCCAGCTGCTCAGGAGGCTGAGGTGGGAGGATCACCCGAGCCTAGGAAAGTCCAGGTTGCAGTGAGTGGTAATTGTGCCACTGCACTCCAGCTTGGGTGACAGAACGAGACCCTATCTCAAAAACAAAGCAAAGCAAAACAAAACAGAACTGTATATGTAGTAATGAGTTTATCTATGTTACAGACAAAATATGTAAACTAAGAATGTGGGTGTGTCCCAACCAGTCCATAGGGAATGCCTGTGCTTATGTTAAGCCTTGGCTGCTTTGACAGCTGCTGGGCACCTGTACAGAAGATTACAAAGGCCCTGAATACAGAAGTGTGTGAAGTTGGGCAAATGAGGGGAATGAGGATAATTGGATGGATCTCTATCTGCCTTTAGCTCTACTACTCTAACCTGCCTGCTCACCCCTAACCCCATTCTTCTCTGAGAAAGAAAAAAGAAGAGTAGGCCGGGAGCAGTGGCTCAAGCCCATAATCCCAGCACTTTGGGAGGCCAAGGCGCATGGATCACGAGGTCAGGAGATTGAGACCATCCTGGCTAACATGGTGAAATCTTGTCTCTACTAAAAATACAAAAAATTAGCCGGGTGTGGTGGCAGGCGCCTGTAGTCCCAGCTACTCAGGAGGCTGAGGCAGG